AGACGACGGAACTCCTGCCACTTGGCACGTCCAATCTTGCCTTTGTTACCCAAGCCTGCGATGCCTACCAGTTCACCATCGGCAAGGAACTGCTCGGGCATTGCGTTGCTTTTGCCGTTCTCGCCAGTGCTGGCAACATCCCCTTCGCGCTTGTTTTGTGCACGCACTTTACGCAAGAAGTCGTTCCACTTGACAGTCCTCTCTCTTTGGAGATTGTCGTGCAGCTCACTCATCTGCTCTAGTAGGGATTGCACTGGGTCGATCTGTGGCGGATACTGGCTGATCGGAGTGGACGGGCCTGGCGAAGTAGTTGTAGCGGAGAGCTCAGCATTGCCCGACACAATACGCGATGGTGATGGCTCTGGGTTGACACTAGCCGTTGGTGCAGACCCTCGCTTCATCAACGTAATTTGGTTGTTGCCAATCTTGAAATTTGAGACCTCGCCCTCTGCGGACTCTACGGTGGTGATGGGCGCCGCGGATGGAGTGTGTGACAGGAGTTCAGTTGGATGCGTGGCTAGCTTCAGGTAATCAACCCACGTCTTGCTGGCTGGCTGGTTCTGGTGATTATCAGAGTCGGAGCTGGACGGGCGTGTGGTGCCATCATTCTGATCCGCGGGAACAGAGCCTGCATGCTCATGGTCCTCGTCGAGAGCCAAGTTGTTGAGTGTCGTCCTGCCATCGCCGAGTGACTCCACATTGCTGCTTCGCTTCTGCTTGATCAGCTCAGCCGCTGCCTCACTCTGTCTCTTCTTGCGGCGCTGGTCGTAGATGAAACCAAATCTATCAGTCAAGTACTCGCTGCTGCCGATGAACCTATTGTGTTGCTGTACTAGCGTCGGTGGTCGTGAGTCCTCCGGCAGGATTCGGTCCATTTCCACAGGCCCAAGATTGCTCATTCCACGGACAGGCGGAGTCGGACCGAGCCCATTCGACACGTTCTTGGGCTGTTCTAGCGCTGTGCTTTTGATTGTTCCATTGGGGCCCAAGGCGCGGCCTCTTCTTTGGGTGCTGGCGAGCGATGACTTTGCGGATTGCGCCGTCTTGGTCGAATCCATGGAGGGCGCACGGTCGACAACACTAGAAGCTGTGGATTTGCGGCCTCGTACTGTATTGGCCTTGGGGTTTGCAGCATTGTTTCCTGCTACCATTTTCAACGCCCAGCTTGCTAGCGATGTCGACGAAGATCTACGCGCCGAGTCTGTAGCATGATCTGAGCTGTTGAGTCGGCGCAATGCAGGTACAGCACCGGCTGGAGGGACAAAGAGATCGCTCGCGAGGGCCTTGCGGGGTGGCTTTGCTCCACTAGATGCGCGCGACCGGGTATGCCCCAGAGTCTCGGCTTCTCTGTCCACCATGCTCGCTACGGACGGTGCTCGGCTGCTCTTCTTGCTCGTCCCAGCCCAAATGTAGGTCTTCCAGTTTGGTTTGGTGGTGTCGCGTGGCGCGTCCGACGCGACTGAGTTGATGGACATGACTTCTGCCTGAGGCGCTGAGGTGCCCGTGTCCATGCCCAGAGCATCGGGGTGCTCAGCCAATTCGTCTTCCATAGCCCTGGCGAGCCTGTCCTCCATGGGGTCGTCGGGGTGCAATCCAGTGGCTGCGCTGTCGCCCCTCGTCCTCGTCTTGGTGAGGCTATTGCCTGGCTCCTTGCTCTTCTCCAGCTCGCGCAGCCGGTTCTCAATGTCCATGTTGGAGACCTCGCACTCCTGCAGCATCTTCCTCAGCATGCGCTCGCGCTCCTCGGCTCGTCTCCGCAGAGCCGTGATTTGCGCATCGCGCTGGGCCAGGTCGCCAGCGAGTTGCTTGACTAGCGCCACAGCGCCCGTTTGTCGCAGCGCATCCTGTATGCTGTCGTCGCTCGCAAAGTGGAGGTTTCCGGGCACCTTGGCGGACTCGGTGGGGGTATCGTCGAAGAGAGCCGTCCGGTCTTTGGCAGACGAGGCGGCTACCAGACTGCCCACTATCTGCTGTGTTGACTTGGTGACCTTCCTGACGGTAGAGGCAGGCGTCGTGCCCTTGAGGTCCGGCGGGGGAATCGCCTTGACCGTGTCGGGCGATGCAACCGTCCTGCTCTCAGCATTCTTAAGGCTGTCCTCGGGCGCTGGGGTGGAGCGGAACCAGCCGTTGACGCGCGACTGTGCCGGTGACGTCTCCGGGCTAGGCGACAGTGAGGGGAAGGACGTGAGGCTCTTGGTGTCGACTTCGGGCGAGGGCGCTCTGCTGCGGCTGCGGCTGAGCGACGTGTTGGAGCTGCGCTTCGAGGGCCGCATGCGCTGTATGCTGCGGTTCCGTGGGTTGGATATGGTCGAGCTCTGCGACGCCGTGCGGACCAAGTCAACCGCTCTGGGGGGATCGATTGCCGCCATGTTTGTCGAGCGAGACTACGAGCACGCCCATCCGTATAGTCCTATGGGTGAATGCACGGGAAAGGGGACGTCGGAATCGGAATGCGTGTGCGAATACGTTATGCGAGGTCTGCTCTTGTTCGCGTGCATCGGTTGCTGCTGTGCAATAAGTGGAGAGGCAGTGCGTCATACGATATGGCGAGGCCTAGATATGTCGCCCCACGCTTCTTTGTATGTGTGAGAAAGCAAAGACGGCCAAAAACTTGCACGGCGTCAGGGGCAGACAAAGCACTCGGCGGGCTCTCTTAATTACGAAGGCGCAAGGGGCACCGCACAGCCAAGTCACGACACTTGGTGGTGTCGAACAATCATCTCCACGCGCTAGGGCTGTTTTGTGCACATGCATTGCAGCCCTACGAGCCACACGGCACCCGAAACAGACTTCCACGGCGATCTCCCTTAATCCAGACCCTGGCGTGCCTGGACTGCCACCCTGCTAAACACGCCCGACTAACAGTCGACTATGTTTCGCATGTGCCATGCCCGTTACCGACGAGGACGCTGCATTGGCGGCCGTTGCGACCCTGCAGCCGCTGTCTCCTGAACAAGACGATGCCCTGAAGAGCATCAACGCCATCTTGAACAACGGCGAGCCCTTTGTCGACATCCACGAGCTGTTCGCCCTGTATAACATTCTCTACTTCCGCAAACTGCTCCTCCCACGTGTCGAAGTCATCTGGTCGCCGCGTTTGACTCTGGTAGGTTTTCTTTGCGCGTCACAATTTGCTTTCCACGCGTCTCATCCACCACTTCTGAAGCCGCCCTCGTGTCTCCGGACCGTTGCCCCACCCGCTTCTAGACTGCCGTGTCAAACACCGGCTAACAATAGATCCAGTGCGCTGGCATCTGTGAGCTATCCCGGGATCCCAAGACCAACAAGTTCACGCGCATCCGGTTGAAGTTGTCCACGCCACTGCTGCAGTATCGTCCTCGGTCGGATACCATCAACACTCTGCTACATGAAGCAATCCATGCCTACTTCTTCATCACCACGTCGTGGAAGCACTCGCGCGGGGATGACGGTACTGGACATGGCGTCGGCTTCCAGCTGTTTGCCGACGCCGTGAACAACCACGGCAACTATGAAGTCACCATCTACCACACCTTCCACGATGAAGTCGACAGCTACCGCACCCACGTCTGGCAGTGCGACGGACCCTGCAGAAGCCAGCCGCCGTACTTTGGCCTCGTCAAGCGAAGTATGAACCGAGCTCCTGGCAAGGGTGACACGTGGTACTCAAGACATCAGGCCGAATGTGGGGGCACTTATCACAAGATCCAGGAACCGGCGCCGACTAAGAAACAGCTGGAGGCTATGAGTACCAAGGAGCGGGCGGGACGGCAGAAGAATAAGTTGGATGGCTGGATCAAGAAGGATGTTAAGGTGCAGGGCAAGACTTCTGATGTACCTATTGTCATTGGTGATGAGGATGAAACCTCGACCAATCCTTCGAATGACAGGCCAGATGTGGCGTCCGCAGTTGTGGAAGATGTCGTCCGTTCATCCACACCTACAGCCTCGAGCGCTGGCCAGAAACGGCCGCGAGATGAGGAGCATGATCCTGTCGTGCAGAAGAAGTTACTTGTCGACTGCCCGATTTGTAATGTTCGGATAGCAGAGTCCGATATCAACGAGCATCTGGATACAATACATCCTTGAACTTGAACTTCCTAGTGCATGATCTGTTGTGCCTAGAGACGAGACTGAGAAAGCTTGAAGTGCAGAAGAGGCTACCGATGCATTACAGAGAGCAATGTAAGCAAGTCTGCATATGTGTGCGTCCTAGAGGTGTAGTCAAAGTCGATCAATAATTTTAGAACAAGCATATCGCTTTGTGAGCATCAAAGGTGTTTGAAGAAGTAAACAAGCAACCTTTGTGAAGGCAGAGACTAGTGACCTGCTTTCTAGTCTGTATGATGCTCCCTATTTAGTGAACCAAAAAGCAGATGATTCGGCTAAGAGAAGGTAGACATGCATAAAGATATGTAAAGCGCTGCAGTCCTTCAAGATAGAAGTCTGAGAGGCAAAAAGATTGCCAACCAGCCTTATGCTAAGGAGGCTGTCGCAAAGGCAAAAAAGAATGTCGCAATTTGGCGGTACTGGGAACTGTAGACATGTTAGACAATGTCTCAGGACCACCAATGTATTGGGAATGAACGTACTCGAACCCAGGCTGGCGCGGATCTGGATCGGGACACTTAGTGTCCGCCAGCCACAACGCGACGTCATACCACTAGACCATACCTGAAGGTACAGTTAGAAGATGTCCAATAGGTACTGCGTGCAGGCAGAACTTACCACCGTGAGGTGTTATCGCATTACCCGAAGGTGATTTGATGGCAAAATCTTAAATTTTATCGTACAATACGTTGGCAAAAGCACGAGAAATAGAGCCGCGAAATGCGGTACAAGGTTCCAATAATGTCACTGAGGGGTGAGGGGCAGAGGTGGGGACCATCACTCGCTAAGTCAGGTCGTTCCGAGTGGTGACTAGCCTGCTCCGATCCATTCCCGCGCTCGCCGATAGGCAGTCAAGGAAATTTTTGGGGCGCGCGACCAACACCGCAACCACCAACGCCGTCCACAACAGCATGGCCGAACCGGATGCAAAAGCCTCAGCTGCGGGCGAGGCTTCTGCCGGGCCCAGCAAACCGCAGAAGCCTCCGAATCCCGTCTGGAGGATGATGGGTGCGTGGTTCTACTGTCTCCCGAGGTCATGCGGAGCACTACTAACAATTACAGGCCTGCCAAACTTTCGCTTCAAGCTGCCGTCGCGCAATTGGATGATTTTTCTTTCGATTACTGGGTCTTGGACTGCGGCAGTCATGTATGATCGGAGGCAAAAGAAGCGCATACAGAAGAAGTGGGCGAAGGTTGTTGAGCACATCGCACACGAGCCGTTGGACGTACACCAGCTGCCGAGGAGGCTTACTATATTTTTATCTGCACCGCCGGCGGATGGAATAGTACCTGCACGCGATCACTTCCACGAATACGTCAAGCCCATCCTTGTCGCAGCGGCGTTAGATTGGGATGCGGTCGAGGGCCGAAGGGAAGGAGACGTCAGAGCTGGGTTGGCAGAGCGGATACGGAAGCTGAGGAAGAAGAGGGGAGAGGCGACTGCCGAGCCATTAGAGCCAGGGCTTGAGGAGGAGTTGGAAGGACTAAGGCAAAGAGCTGGTGTGAGCCAGTGGAGTGGACCGGGAGGAGACATCATTATCGGCAGACACACATGGAAAGAATATGTTCGAGGACTACATGAGGGTTGGCTGGGACCTCTGGACCCTCCGCCATCATCAGAACCGACGGTAGAGGTACCGGTTGCTGCGATCGAACCCACACCTGCGTCAACCGAAACACCCTCTGACAGCACAACACCTGCCACGACCGACGATGCATCACCTACCGCTACACCCGAAACCCCAAAGACGGAAGACACTGAGAAGCCGAAGGAAGAGGAGAACAAGCCCAAGAAGAGGAAGCAACCACCACCATTCATCTCAACCGCTGAATACCATAACGCCGTACTCTCCCAAAACTGCCCACAAGCACTTGGTCCCGCCGCCGTAGTGCCTCTCCCCCATCTTCTCGGATTCTTCAACTTCCCCATTCGCATGTTCCGTTTCCTGAACAAGAGACAAGCGGCGGATGAGATTGGCCGGGAAACCGCTGCTGCTGTTCTGGGTGCATACCGACCTTTCGAGACTGCAGGCGAAGCGTCTGTCACGAACGAGGAAGACGGACAAAGTCAGGCGCAGTGGGAGCAACAACGATTACTTGCACACGAAGAACCAGACTGGTCCAAGACAGCACGAAAGCGCGAAGAAGGCGACACTAGGGAGAGGGTATGGCTAGACGAGATGGTGCTGGACCCCAGAATCGCTGAGCGCATGCGGAGGTTTGCATTAGATCGCGAAGTTGAAGAGCGCGCTAAGAGCATGTCTCTCTCAAAAGAAGAATCATGGTTCAGCTCACTGTGGCCGAAAGAGAAGCCCAAGGGTGCTTGGGAAGGATTGAGCGACGATTAGAGACTTGTAGATACCCATCTCACCTTCTAGTATGTGTTATAGTAGTGGGGTGTAAGAGTAGACGTGTATACGAAAGCATTTGACGGCTTGAATGACGCCAGTTAAACTCAGATTCATGCAATTCACTTCCTTTGCTCGCGGTGTTTGATAGTGAACACTACAGGGCTGGTGGTAGCAGCTTGGCACTGGCGGCGGCGGACTGCCCCGCCAATTGACCGACGGAAGCTTCGAGTTTCAATGCATTGATCTCAGACTTGCAACCAACCATAGTCCTGTACCTACCTGAACACCTGTTCATAAGCTTACTACCAGGGAACGTACTACATTGTTCCTAGTACCCAGCCTGCGAGACCCTTCCAACACACACATCACGCCGTCATGGTAAGTCTGCCCCACTTGCGCACGTAAACAATGGCTCACAGTCCCAGGCTTTCCAATCCAAGAAGCGCCTCGCGCTCGCCATCCTCGACTTCCTCCAGACATCGCAGACCGACGGCTCCGTAGCGCCCGACGACGCCGAACAACTAGAAGTCGCCGCCAACTGCATCGCCGAAGCCTTCAAGGTCGACGCTGCGGATGAGGCCGCAAAGAAGGACGCCATTGGCGACCAGAACCTGCTCGCCATCTACAACGTCTACGAGAAGCTCAAGGGAAAGACGACCGCCACAACTGAGGGATCCTCGTCGGCAAAGGAGGCCCGACCAGCGACGCCACAGACACCTGCCGCCGGGTCAGGACCAGGCGGGCCAAACAAGGATGAGGCCGAGAGACTGAAGGGACTGGGTAACGAGGCGATGAAGAAGAAGGACTACGATGGTGCTGTCAAGCATTACACCGCCGCTCTCGAAGTCATCCCCCTCAACCCCATCTACCTCTCCAACCGCGCGGCCGCATACTCAGGCCAGGGCAAGCACGAGCTCGCAAAGGAGGACGCTGAGATGGCAGTCGCTGCCGACCCCAACTACTCCAAGGCCTGGTCGCGTCTCGGTCTCGCTAAGTACGTTCTCGGCGACGCAAAGGGCGCTATGGAGGCATACAAGTCGGGCATGGACGCAGAGGGCGGCGGTTCAGAAGTCATGCGCAAGGGCTACGAGACAGCCAAGAAGAAGGTCGAAGAGGACGGTGGTGATGTCGGTGCGCCCGACGCTGCCCGGGGTGCTGGTGGTATGGGCGGCGGTGGTGGCATGCCTGATCTCTCTGCCCTCGCTGGTATGCTCGGTGGTGGCGGCGGCGGAGGCGGCGGTATGCCCGATCTCGCGGGCCTTATGCAGAACCCGATGATGAGGCAGATGGCTCAGAATCTCATGAGCAACCCAGACATGATGAGCAATCTCATGAACAACCCCAGGATAGCGGAGATGGCTCAACAGTTCGGTGGTGGTGGTGGCGGTGGAGGTCGAGGCGGCGGCGGTGGTGGAAGCGGAGGTGGAATGCCCAACATGCAGGATCTCATGAACGACCCTAACCTGGCTGAGATGTAAGTTCAAGACGTGCTCATTGACATAATTATGACTAACGAGATATCAGGGCCAGGAACTTCATGGGAGGTGGTGGTGGTGGTGCTGGCCGAGGCGCACCGCAATAAGATGCTACAAGTCGATTGCAATGAGTAGATGGTTGATGTAAGCATTGATCTTATGAAAAAGCAGTCTTCACGATTAGAAATATCTTACCATGTTCAACTTCGTTTGTATTCATGGAGATCCCGTTCTAAGATCGACAACTATCTTGCGAATGGCAAGATAAGCTGTAATGTCGTGCCTGTGATCAGAGCCTTGAGTGGCTCCTGATCGTGATCCATCCCTTCATCGATAACCGGTCTGTTCGTGTGACTCTGAAGCCACTCGCTGCTCATGTACTTCATCTCGCCCCTGCCATCGAAAACCTCACCCGCTCAATCCAACTTCAACCCCCAAAGCCCATCCCCCAAATAATGCCCCGCCTCACACGCCTGCCCCTTCTTAACCTTCTTCATCTCCTCCGTCCCCATCTTCAACACTCCCACCATACACGCCGTCTCCTTGCCCTCCGCCTCAATAACCACCACCTCGCCCTCCTTCAGATCCTGCGCCCCGTACACCTCTTTGTCCTCGTCGCTCAGTTCAGGTCCTGGTAAGCGGCCGCCCGGCGAAGTTAGACCGGGTGCCATTAGGGTCGCGCCGGAGAGCACGAAGCGGATGGCGCCCCGGTCGATGCGCAGCCGGTGGAAGGCGAAGGGGTATTTGTGGACGAGGGTTAGGTGCGGGAGGAGGGCGTCGTCCATGTGTTGGAAGAAGAGGGGGGTCGAGTGCAGGGTGTAGAGGGATACGCGGTCGGGTCTGTGGTGGTGGGTGTTAGCTTTCATCCTCTTGTGGTTGCTTCCATGACCATGGTATGCGTGGTGGTGTGTATGGATAACGTGAATATGGCGCGACGTACAGCTTAACCAAATCTAATTGCTCCTTCTTCGGCAGTATATCCTCGATATACGGTTCTAATCTCGGATATTCCTCCAGCACTTTTGAGCGGATGGCGCGTTGGGCGCTGGATTTGACCTTTGATTTTGCGCCGGAGGTTATGCTGAATCCTCATCAGTGCATGGTCATGATATGCGACGCGTAATTCAGCTTACTCTTTCTTGAACATCGTGTCGGTTGTGTGGGGGGAGTTGGGTTTGTATGCGACGGTGTTTGGTGTTGAGACTGCTGCTGGGTAGATTGGTGCCCCGCGATTGCCCCTCATAGACGCGCTAGTGAGGGAGGGGAGCGCGTGCGACTGCGCTTTCTCTTAGGGGTTCTTTCACTCATTACATACTTTCCGCCCGAAAACCCCGGAACGCACAAATGTATCGCTCATGAGCTGCCGCTGAAGGCTCAGACTGTGGCATACGATTTCTTCACATGCTGTTCTAGCTTATCATGAGCTCGCGCCTTCCTCCTCGGTCAATCACCCCAGTCTACGCATGAGGAAACATCTGCACTGGATTATACATTTAATCAAGAACTAAAGTTGTCGCGATCTGTATACAGGTGGCTTCCGTATGCGTTAGCTTCCTTCTATCATACATAGACATCGTGTCCAGTGTGCAGGTCAACACTCGACGTCATCAAACTGAGGGTCAGCCCAGTGTCCAGTACTACATACCCCAACGACGCAGGTGCATTCTCAGAGACCGAGTCGCCTGAAAGAGATCTCGTTCACAAAATGCATGATTCAGGATGTCAAGTCTGTCAGAGCTTACGGTTTCCCAATCCCGAGCCTCTCTGGACATCTTACGCGGAGCTGCAACACGCAGCAAACGATGGGTGCGAGCCGTGCGATCTCCTTCGACAAGTTAGCGAGACAGTTTGCAAAAGCATGAAAATATCTCCAGGTGACGCTGAGAGGATATGCGTAAGCGATGGGGGCAACTCTGATGGAGAAGGCCTTCCAGTCATATTAGTTGATCGTACGTCAACGCCTTGCTGTAATGCCAAACCTTCTCGACTATCGCTACCAATAATGCAGTCTATGCTCGTTGGCATTTTCACCTTATGCCAGGTAAGTCGCTCATGTTTATTTCAAAGTCAAAAGCCCTGAAAATGCGCGTACTGTGTTGACAAAGTACAGGACATAAATGTTCGTGGCCGTTTCTGAACTCGTTTGGGAAACTCGACGACGATCCAAATATCACAGACTGTGCGCAGTTCATCAAGGCCACACTGCAGAAGTGTAGTAATGAGCATACTTCTTGTGTAGCTTCTGCGTCATTGAGAGGCTCAACGAGCACGGGCATATCAAAGTTCGTCCCCAAGCGCTTGTTGGCCGTCAGAGATCATGGTTCAGTGCACCAAGTAAGACTGCACGAAACCTCAGTGATTATCTCAACTTTGAATGAGTCAGGCATTCGATATGCAGCCCTCAGTCATTGTTGGGGCCGTATCGAGATGATCAGGACCATGGAGGCTACGTTGTCTGATTCCATGCTGAAAGGTATTAGATGGACGGATTTGCCAAAGACGTTCCAAGAAGCTGTGTTGTTAGTGCGCGAGCTTGGGATCGACTATCTCTGGATCGACTCTCTATGTAAGCAATGTTAGTTTCGGTGATTATTCCAGTTCATACTGATCATTTTGCGTTCGCAGGTATTATCCAGGACTCTATAGAGGACTGGGCTCAGCAAGCTGCTGAAATGGCCGACATCTACTCGAATGCATACCTCACGATTGCAGCATCTGCAGCCGATAACGGACAGCAGGGTCTGTTGAACCGTCGCAAACCACAAAAGCTCGACATAGCGCACGGTGATCAAACTTATACAGTCTGCGTTCGTGAGCCAATCATACACTCCCTGCATTACGTTGGAGGGGATGACCGAGCTGCTCTCATGGCCTCTCCTAACTTGAAACTACGACAGCGTGCTTGGTGTCTTCAGGAAGAATTCCTTTCTCCGTGTGTAGTTCACTTCACATGCGATGAAGTCGTTTTTGTCTGTCGCGAAGCTACATTGTGTGAATGCACACCCAAATGGCACGAGAGATTCCGGCTACCAACATTCTCCTCTTATACGTCGTGGAACAACTTCCTCGAGCACTACACTGATCGCAAAATCACTTTTTTCGCGGACAAGCTAGCCGCAATATCGAGTCTCGCGCGGTTCTTAAAGACAGACTCAGATCGATACCTTGCCGGGCTTTGGCTATCTCGTATGCCAGAAGGTCTACTGTGGCGGATCGATGGCGGTCTTCGTCCAAAGCCTTTGGATCCCTCTCAATCGAATCCACCCTCGTGGTCTTGGGCCTCTGTTGAAGGCAAGGTGTATGAAAGGCTTCTAAGCTTCCAGGAATCAGGGACAACAGCCACGCTACTCGACGCTCAAGTCTACCCCAGCACCAGCGATCTTATGGGCATGGTTTCTGGGGGCCACATAATTCTACGAGGGCCGTTGTTATCACTACAGGAGACGTGGAAAAGGCACTGCGCGCCGCCGGATGGGGGAACTTACAATTTCGCTTACAAGGATCGTGAGCCTCATGTCATTT